CTAGAAAAACAACCAAAAGAATAGGAAACAAAAAGAATAAGCAGTTAGAGATGACCGTCATATTTATTGTATTCCCCGAAGAGAAAAGAGAGGCTATCTTGTAAGAAATGAGAGAGAGAAGAGAGAGCCTTCAGGTGGATCAATTGTTTCAATGAAAAAGTCAAGTTATATTATGTTTCAGATTAAGATAACCTAAAAGAAGAAAGGCATTTCCTTGATAAGACAATTTCTCATCATATTTCAATATTTTCATCAACCTATGTTCTTTAAATTATGGTAGTACTGAACTTGCACATTAAATTACAGAAAACATTTTTTTAAAGAAAGTAAAGTTGATTTTGTTCAAGAATAGAGTCAAGAGTGCAGCATTAACAACAGATGTGAAAAATACAAAAGTATCTTCTCTATTAGCTATGAATGGAGGGGATAATGATATCTGTCATGCTTTCCAAGTAACTAATAGCATCTAAGTTACACCAAAGAAGCCCTTCTGGATAAGGAACACCAAATGTATTCGATCAACATCAATAGCAGAAAACCATATTTTACCACAATTTAGAAAAGAGAAAAATATAAGGGGAAAATGCTTAAAAGTTTAGTATTCTGTCAAACCTAGATGTGTAATAATTCCAATTTCATGCCAACGCCAAATAGCATGCTCTACAGAATGCTCAGAGAAAAGTGCTGATGAACTTACATCTCGTTGAACGTCTCTAAAACAACTTGTATACTGCGACCTCCATCTTTGATTTGTGAAGAAACTAAACGAACATCACAACCTAACTTTCGACCAAATATCACCTTCAGCAAGAAAAGAGAAAAAGCAATTAAGAAATATAACCAAAAATAGACTTCCCAGCCAAGCCACAATAGTTTCATAATACGTAAAGATTAGAAGCAACAGTTGTTTCTTCAGCTCTTATCTCCTAATGTAGAACTGTATCTAGCAAATAACAGGTATTTGATGAGTGAGGTGGATATGTGTGCTTGAGATGAAGGAAGAGTTGGAGAGATACAATAGGGTCCATTTGCCCTTTATCACATTATTAGAATGGTCTCCTTAAGGTGTCACTTGTAAGGCAGGTAGAAAATGGTGGCATTTCATGTTTACATTTGACAACTACCAAGTCAAATGTCCTAATGTAATTGTGTAAGAACATGTTATTCGAATTCAAGTGCTTTATTACTATTCCAATAAGAGCTGTTAATATGCATTTTGAATAAAAAACACTTATTTAGGGTCCTGTGGGATGCTAAGTTGAAGAACTACAACAGGTCTTCATTTCCAGATGGGCAATACGACAAATAGCACCTTACAACTTGTTTGGATATTTGTTACATATCGTTTCATTATGTATCGTACTGTATTATTTCAACATTTGAATAGATTATATTGTTTGCCATTTTTTTTATGATATTACGCACCAGCAATATGAAGAATAAACTTGTGTATGGTCAAAACCGATTGACTCAGTCGTACGGACTGGTCGAGACGATGATGTTTCGATCAAAGGGTATTTGCATGACAAGCTCGGTATCATTATTGAGCTCATATCCAAATCGAACTACGAGGCAAGGCGTAGATTGTCGAAGATGCCTAGACCGACCAACACTCACCCCGAATATCGATATCCCAAGGCAGAATCAAGCTCGAACCAAGACCGGGGGCTCGATCCAATACCGAGCTCGAGCCAATATCGAGCTCGGAGACAAGAGCCGTTACAACCGCACCAAGGGAGAGAATCTTGACGAGAACCGAGGAAGAGACAAATCATCATGGATCCTCCACTATATGCATTATTTTATTAGCAATGACCCTCTATTATAAAAGAGGGGATCCTTGTAAGCTATAGACACACAATATAGACTGGAATAAACGGATCTTTTTCTCATATACAAAGACATCTCTTTGTGCTTGTTTTATTTCATCTTGTTCAATTTCCCTGTTCATCATTCCTATCCTCATAGTCAAAATACCTGTATTGTTATCTTTGTATCAAAGGATAT